AGAGAGAGAGAGAGAGAGAGAGAGAGAGAGAGAGAGAGAGAGAGAGAAAGCGGCTAAGAGAGACTGGCCACACGGGCCGGAGGGCGCCCACATAATAAGACAGGACACAGTCTGCCTGGTGAGCTCTGGTGGTGTCTGGGCGGGGGCGGCCATGGCAGCGGCCGGCAGCAGCGCAGTCGCAGCGGGCACGATGGACCTGACAGACAACAAGGCGCTGACGGCCATAGGCCCAGCAGCTGCCAGTCGGGCACAGGGGCAGCTAGAAAGTCCGCAAAGTTGAGCATGCGGGGGAGCTGGCACAGCTGAGGCGCCTATGCGTGGGCCAAGGGAGCTCGCACAATGGAGCACAGACCCTGTAAAAAGGCTAACAGATTTTTGTTCAGGAGGTTTTGTGCCTCCGTATAAAAATAACAATTTTAATAATTTTATCTAATTGTATGATGGCACTCACGTGCTAGGATCTAAAGAGATTCAGATAAATGCTTCTGCCCCTGAAAAAGTTCCAGGCAAAGCTAGTACTAATCTTGAGACAGGGGAGTTTTGTCTATGTTTTTCCGCAGAATGCAGACCATCCCATTTGGGTGCCGGAGCGGCTGATTCGTACTATGGATTCTTCTATCCAGAGGCCTAAAGACGGGACAAAACCAAGAGATCCAGGCGTAGTTGACCTGCCAGACTAAGGAGCTGCTGGATTCCCAAAGCTGACAGCAGTGGCCCATACCCACGGGCCCTTCCCTGTCGCAGCTCCCTCCCCATGATCTGTCAGTCATTGCTGTGGCCAGCAGAAGCGGCTTGCTATCAGTTTTTTTTTTCCCTTATCCTGTCAGCTACTTCTGTTGTGCGCTAAGGAAGCCTTTTTAAGGCAGATTGTAAATACCATGGCTGTTCAAATTAAGCTAAATTTACAATTGAATACTACAGTAAATCTCTACAGATTGGTTATGGTTTTTGGCCTCTGCTTGATCAGGATAATTTTTGCTGTTTTTCATGGACCCTGGAATACAAGAGCCATGGTCCATACCAGGGGGTGGTGGTGATGCAGATCTCGAGTGATTCTACACTATAGCCTAAAGGCAGTCTAGGGTTACTACTCATCCTGAGACTGAATCTCTGAGCTTCTGGAAATAGAGATTTGAGAATTGAAGAATCGAAGACAGATGTCTCAGTTTGATGAAAGAGAGGTAGAATAATGCTTTATATATTCTTTCTTGTGTTTGGGCCAAGTAGAATTTAATGTTTGACCATACAGGTAAAAACAAACAACCAAAACAAAACAAAGCAAAACAAAACAACTTTGTTCTTTATCTACTGACTTTGACTCACATGCATTTCATTGTATGGGATAAAGAGGTTAAATTTATACATATAAATATATATGCATATATATTATATATACATATATATTATAGATGTGTGTGTACAACTATATATATATGTATGCATGCAATAATAACCAGGGAAAAGTATGCCAAGAATTTGAAAGAGAACAAGTAGGGGTATATTGGAGATTTTGGAGGAAGGAAAGGATGTTTGAATCATATTATTATCTTCAAAATATAAATTATTACTTGCATTTTGCCATAAGTAAAGTTTATTTATTGTTATAATGGTATTGTTTGTAATATCTGCAGAAGGGATTACTTGTTGGAGATGTTGGCAACAATGATTTTTTTTATTGATTATTTTTCTGTTGGCTTGACATTCTGGACGTTCGTGTTTCGAGAAATACACATCATGTCCCTCGTCAGGCTCTTTTCTCTTCCCAGACCCATTAATGGTGCGTGTTTTCTGTTTGTAGTCAATGGAACACAGTGATGTGTTCCTTATGTTGTTGTTATTCGCACGTCTAATCCTGCAAACAACATTCAACAGTTCGCGGTAGGCCCTAAAGTGGGAGCTGAAATGAACAGAGAAATAAGACACAAATCTCTCAAGTAGAGCTTGTCTTTTAACTAAAGGAAATTAAGATGCAAAAGCTGGAATTTTTAAATAAGTTAATAATTCCTGTAGTTCTTAAAATGCACACATACAGAAAATTGTTGATAAAATGCTCATCTGTTCTTTTTCTTACAACTCTAAATATAGAAATTTATTTAATACAGAGAAACACAACTCAGGTATTTTTATGGTTACAGCTAAATAAACTGAGAAAAAGTTCTTTCAAAAGGCCATATTTAAATAAGTTTCAAGTTTGGAGATTAAATAGAATTAACTAGGAATAGATTTTTCCTAATTTCAGTTGAATTTTAAGTTTTGATAGATATTATTATTTTAACCCTAAACTTGAATATACATAATATATTGAATATATATATATACATAATATATTAAAAATAAATAATATATAATTTATTTTTTACTATATAGTTTAATCAGTTTTGGTTTTAACATTTTTGTTTGAGTGATCATACTCAAAGCGGTGAACACATAAGTCTTTAAAATGTCATTTTCCCTGGAGATTAGTAACTCCTGATGGGTAAGTATTGAAAAGTGTGCCTGAAGTCACTGAACAAGGTAAGCAACAGTGGATTAAATGAAAGATATTAAATCTTCTAAATGGATTTTTACAACCTTTTCCTATGCCTTGGAGAGCATTACTGTTTGGAAAACTTTAACAGTATGAATTAAAAGATTAAATGTTCACCTCATTATATCCTCAAAAATATTGAAAAGATGCTATGCCGAGCCTTGGGGAACAAAATATATTATAGGCATAAAAATGTTTCATTCCTGATGCTGCTTTCAAATGACAGCATAATATGTTATGGATCATTTGATAATTTTTTTACATAAAAATGCTGTTCAGCACCCAAAAAGGCATATGCTGCTAACGGCGTGTGTTGCAGTCCTTATTATGACAGCTGGTTACAAGGAAATGCCAGTCAAAACACAAAATGTCAAGCAGAAATCTTTCAGCAAAAGTATTAGTTTGCAAAAAAATCATTCATAAATAAGCTTTTTAAAATTGCTTCTATTATTTCTAAACATGAATAATGAATGGCCATTTTAGATAAGCTAAGAATTGTAGTCTATAATGATAAAAAGACATCAAAAAAATTAATCACAATTTCCCCTTAATTTGTAAATAATCAAACTTTCTCTTTATCTTCTGGCTCTAGAAATCATGGACAAATTGCTTAAATTCTAATTCTTCAACCACTGGATTTTGAGGGTATTTAATAAACTATCAATATTAATTTGCTAAACTCACAATATTTGCATCTAAGCAATATTCTTTTATTTTTAAGATGTAAACAAAACATTTTAAAACTATATTTCATCTACTCTTTTCTTACAAAAATTATTTTTAATTTACTGAATTGTTGTCTTATGAAGCTAAATAGTCTTTTTTAATGAATATACTGGTTTGTGCTAATTTATGTAGATTCGTGGCTTTGTGAGAATTCCGTAATTTACTAGAACTAAGGCAGTTATGATTACCACCTGGTAAGGAAAATTAGTTATGTTTTAGTTCTATGTCAGAATATTTTTCTCACTCATTTTTTTAAGAAAGAGGTAGTTAAGAAGGGAAAGAGTTACAGGAGCTGGAAAAAATAATATAGCATCATTTGTCTATGAAAGTTCATTAGTTTTCATCACTAACTTAGTAAGCCAAAATCTTAGGTACTTCATACATTTTTCTAAAAAGACTCGCATTTATATCAGTATTTCTCAATACACTGAAACATGTAAATAAAATAATAAATATATAGTATGCAACATATTATTTCATCCAATATATGGAGGCAGTATTAAAAGTAGAATGGTTTAATATAGATAAGATCTACATGGAGATTTTAAAAATATGCTTATTTATTTTAGTATCCATAAAAGAGGAATAGTAATACTGAGGCTAAAACTCATCGGAAAGTACACCCAAGCTACAGTGAAATGCATTAGTAAAACTGTGGAAGCTGACCAGAGATGATAATACTTGAGCAAGCCAGTGTTGCTTCTCAGAAGTCCTACATCATTCATACCACACTGACTTTCTGGTGTGACCAGACTTACAAGGACATAGACAGTCTTTGAAGACCTTTATTTTGAGTTTGTTTGAGATAGTTTATGCCATATATTATCTCCCAATACATTACCAGGATTCTAAAATTTAAGAAAATGGAAAATAGACTTTATTATTAAAGACAAAAAGCTCTCTGAAAACAAAGATGGGTTGAGAGAGGAACTCTAAATGTGTTTGCGATTCCCTGTAGATTAATTCTCACTCCCAGTTAACTTGCTGCAATCCAACCTCCCAGAAAGCAGACAGAGAAATATGTGAAGCATTTATTTTTATGTAAAAGAAATGTCTGAAATTAATCCCATCAATTTTAAAATAGGAAAGTGCTAAGAATAAGATATAGTTCTCAGTTTTCTTTCAGCCATAGAGTAGTTGTAAATATTTCATAGTTAATTGAAGTGCTTTTTCAAATTATAATAGTGACTGTCATAAAATATGGAATAAAATATAATATTTTACTATAAATATATGACAATAAAATAAATAAACATGAGTTGAATATTTATTTGAGACATAAATTCTAAATGTTTATTTTATAGAGTACAATAAAATACCTAACAAATAGGCTATTATTTTATTTATCCAAATAGACTCATAAATGTATATGGCATTATAATGATTGGTGTTATACAATGAATTTTGAGTCATAGAAATTACTCCTATAAATAAATATCCCTGATGGAGAACAAAAAAGGTACATTTAAAGCATCTCAATTTTCAGGTTTTAATAATAGTTGTAAATGCTTTTGAAAATAATGGATATATCGTGAGTTGAAGTAAATGAGAATCTGCATGGTTATGCTCTTTACGGAAAATGCTTATTGTGCTCAGCCAGCAAAGACACCGAATTATTCCCTTTTGCCACATCATTTTACCCCTGCAACCTCCCCAATTTCTACTGTTCTCTCTTCTATCGATAAAATCTATTTTCCTTTCTCTCCTCTAGTCCCTTTACTTTTGCTGAAACAATGTCCCTTCTTGTCTCCCCACCAGCTCATCCCTGCTACTCCGCCCAAAAGGTAAGGAAGGCCTCCCACAGGAAGTTAAAAAAAACCTGGTTCATTAATTTAAGGCAGAACCACATCCCTCACCTGCATTAGCATTTTCCCAAGTGAAATTTAGTTAACATTAATATTATCTAGCACTTGGTGGTTTTTATATTTCTTAGTTATTTAAAATATTTTAATGTGGTTACTTTTCTTCTACTCAGGGAAATTATTAAGACTCAAAGATTGAGTTTGATTGACATTAAACTTCAGTCTTCCCAAGACTCTCACAGTTTTTTTTTTTTCTCTAATGACAGCAATATGGGTGAGGAATCAAAATGGGTGTAGTGAATTTCCACCAGTCCCTCTGCAGTGACCACTGTGGTACTCTACAATCCATCAACTCTTTCTAATGTATATGTTGGAGGAGGGTTATCTGTCTATTGTGTTATTTTCATTAGTCAATAAAGAGACTGCCTTGGCCCCTTGATAGGACAGAAAATTAGGTAGGTGGAGAAAACAGAACAGAATGCTGGGAAGAGGGCTATGAGGCAGACGCAATGGAGCCAGCCACCAGGTCAGACATGCTGAATCTTTCCCGGTAAGCCACACCTCGTGGTGCTATACAGATTATTAGAAATGGGTTAATCAAGATGTGAGAGTTAGCCAGTAACTAACTCTCTAGAGATAATGGGCCAGGCAGTATTTAAATGAATACAACTTATGTGTCATTATTTCTGGGGCTAAGCTAGCCGTGTGGGAGGTGGGTAGGATGAAAAGCAGGCCTGCCCGCAACTCCTCACTACATGTATATATTTCAAAGTGGAAATGAGGGATTTAGTTTGGTGTTCATTATATTTTTTTTATTTTTTTGATTTTTATTGAGCTCTACATTTATCTCAGCTCCCCTCCCTGACTCTCCCCTTGCTGCCTTTCCCTTCCCACCTTCAACCCTCTGCCAAGGTCCCCATGTTCCCAATTTACTCACGAGATCTTGTCTTTTTCTACTTTCTACTTCCCATGTAGATTAGAACGATATAAATCTCTCTTAGTGCCCTCATTATTGCCTAAATTCTCTGGAATTGTGATATATAGGCTGGTTTTCTTTGATTTATGTTTAAAAACCACCTATGAGTGAGGACATATGAAAATTGTCTTTCTGGGTCTGGGTGACCTCACTCAAAATGATGTTTTCTAGCTCCATCCATTTGCCTGCATAATTCAAGATGTCGTTATTTTTTTCTGTTGTGTATTACTCCATTGTGTAAATGTACCATAGTTTCTTTATCCATTCTTCAGCTGAGGGGCATGTATATTGTTTCCAGGTTCTGGTTATGACTGACAATGTTGCTATGAACATAGTTGAGCCCATATCGTTGTGGCACAATTGAGCATCCTTTGAATATATACCCAAAAGTGGTATTAGTGGGTCTTGAGGAAAGTCTTTTCCTACTTTTCTGAGAAATCGCCGCACTGGCATCCCAAGGGGCTTGTATTCCTACCAGCAATGCAGAAGTGTTCCCTTTTCCCCACAACCTCTCCAGCATAAGTTGTCATCAGTGTTTTTGATCTTGGCCATTCTTACAGGTGTGAGATGAAATCTTACAGTTTTTTTGATTTGCATTTCTCTGATGACTAAAGATGTTGAACATTTTCTTAAGTGTCTTTCAGTCATTTTAAATTCCTCTGTTAAGAGTTCTCTGTTTAGGTCTGTAATCCTTTTTTTTTTTGTCTTTTTTCTGTCTTTTTAATTTAATTTATTTTCTTTATTTTATTTTTCCATTCAATTATTTACACTTCCTTCCTTTTTCCTATTGTCAGTCACAATCAGAGTCCGGTTTGATCACATGTTCATTCAGACCTGGTCCAGGTGGATTTGGTGAGCTCCCATTA